AAAAAAAAAAAAAACTTTCTCTGGGCCAGCCGCAGTGGTTCACACCTGTGATCTCAGCACTTTGGGAGGCAGAGGTGGGCAGATCACCCAGGTCAGGAGTTCAAGACCATCCTGGCCAACATGATGAAATCCTGTCTCTACAAAAATACAAAAATTAGCCAGACATAATGGCAGGTGCCTGTAATCCCAGCTACTGGGGAGGCTGAGGCAGGAGAATTACTTGAACCCAGGAGGCAGAGGTTACAGTGAGCCAAGACTATGCCATTGCACTCCAGCCTGGGCGACAGAGCAAGCAAGACTCCATCTCAAAACAAACAAACAGAACTTTTTCTGAGAGACACTTCTGGATTTTTCATCCCTGAAAGTTCTGAGGGAAAAAAAAAAATCTGGAGCTATAGTCTGTTGGTTTTCTGAGTCAGCATATTCTGATCGTTCTGTAAGTACGCGCTAGCTGGCATAAAGACTAACAGTTGCCAATGTCAACTACAAATCAAATTCCAAATATAAGATTATAGAAGTTTGCCCATGTCTCTTGTAAAAACAGGAAAAGGTGAAAATAGATGGGAGCCTCTGTGTTTTCATACCCTTCCAAGGAATGATTGCTTAATTTAAGAATATAATTACTGTTATCTTTCAGTTATATCTCTGTGAGCTGTTAAACATTCAAACTATACTTAGTCAAGTTATCTCTATGTGCTAAGTCCCAATGAAATGAATTCTGGGATTTTCCTTTCTGACTTAATGCTGAGAATGTGGCAAATGCCACATTTAATAGCTACTGTAAGATTCTATACTTCTGAGCCAATGGGATTCATACTTATTTAATTGTAGACATATTGAAGAGTTGATGAACTGGGTGATATAAGAACAATAGGAATAAAACTATGTTTGGAAACTATCTATCTTAGGTATTCCAAATGGTATTTGTAAGCCTTGGTAGTATAGAAGGAGTGCAAACAAGGAGTACAGAATATCAAAGTACACAGGTTATATTTGTTATCTATCATTGAAGAAATGGTGTGTTCAAACAGCCTGTGGGCAGAAAATTAGCTTTCCAGTTTTAGGGAGGAAACTTTAAGA